CCCCCGCGTCCCCCTCCGCCCGCCAGGCTTCCCGGCGTCCACCTCCCTCCGGAAAGGGCCTCCCGGGCCTGCGGGCGGGCCTCCGGGTCCAGGCCGCGCAGGGCCTCGGGGGACTCGGCCCTCCTGGCTCGCCTGACCAGGGGGCGCACTCACCGACCACGCGTCTGAGTCGGGCCGGGGCGGCGGCAGCGGCGGGGGGGACGGCGGCTCCGAGCGCAGGGAATGTGCGGCCAACCGGGAACTTGCAAAGGAGACGCGTTGGGCTACCCACGGCTCCGCCCCCCCTTCCTGCGAGCTCCGCCTACAGCCGACTGCCCCCGCCCACGGCCGGCAGGTCTGAACACGTGCTCTGCGCGGGCCTGCGGGCGGGACACCAGCCTTTGCAAGCGCTGAGGGTCGCCACCCGGTCTGTGGAGGCCGGGCGAGCTGCAGCGCGGGGGCGCCCACAGCCTAGCAACGGCCCACACCCTCGGGAGGTGGAGGAGCTGGGCTAGCGACTCCGGGAGGCGGGGGAGGCAACCAGCACAGCTGTGGACTGCATCCAAGACCCAGCGTCCTCCAGGCCGACTCCCTCTTTGTCCCCTCCCAACCCAGGGACCACCTAGAGGCTGCAGGGGTCAGCAGAACAGATGCTGGCCTGGGAGGGAGGCCTGCGGTCCCTGTGAGAGATACCCCAGTCTGGAGGGCATCGGGTCTGGCAGTGATGGGAAGGTGTGCGGAAAAAAGGCCAGCCGAGCTGCTGACCTGGGAAGCTGAGAGTGGGAGTGGGGAGACTCCCAACCCACCAGGCTCATCCCCAGCCCCAGGCAGGGTCTGAGTCTGCACAGTCAGTTGGAGTAGCTCTCCATGGACAGTGGGCAGCCCTCCTCCCCAGCTCCCTGCCCTTGGCAGGGCTGGCAGTTCCCAGCCCCCCAGGCAGGGCCCACTGGCATGGGAGGTGGCTACAGGCCTACCCCAGAAGACTCCATGCAGGACAGGCCTGACTCCGGTGGTCCACCCAGGGCTGTGTGAAGACTGGCATGGGGAGGAGGTGGCCAACTGGGACTGGAGCACATAGGAAACCCCGTGCCATGTTCCCTGGTGAGACACTGGGCCTCAGTCTTCTCCCTACAGTGGGGCCCATGGGGCTTCAAGCTTTAATGGGCAGTGAGGGCTTGGATTGTGGCCAGAGACATGCATAGACACTCACAGGCACAAGCAGGGGCCCTCAGCCCCAGCCACACATGTACCCTGGATACCTTCCCACACACAGGAGGCCCAGGAGGTTGCAGTACAGTCAATGGATTTATTTGGAGGAGGGGGCTTTTCTGTTGGACAGAGGTGGGTTTGATGGGATGGGGACAGACAGGACACGAAGGGGGACATAGGAGACCCAGACCACCCTCAGGTTAGTCCCTTCATGACTGCAGTCAGGTAGACCGGCAGCCCGCTAGGTAGAGCCCACATCCAGAATGGACAGCTCCGGCCATAATAACATTCAAGGGGGCAGCTTCTCCAGGTAACGCCCAATAAGTCACTTGGGGCTGGTCAGCGGGCACTGGGAAGGTGGCCTGAGCCACGTCTTGGGGGACGAGCCCAGTTGCAGTTGCAGCAGCAGCAGCAGCAGCAGCAGGTGGGACCCAGTAGGCGGGCCGTGGTCAGAGCCTTCCTGCGGCCACTGCCCAGCCGCTTGGCCTCACAGGCGTCCCTCTCATCTCGTAGCCGCGTGTTCAGCTCCCTAAGGGAGGGGAGTCCAAGTCTCTGAGAGGTCCCAGGAGGCAGCTTTCTAGGGCAGGAGTGTGGGCTCTGACTCTCCCTCACACCAAAAGAGAGGTAGCTGGTTGGGACTGCAGCATGAGGGATGGAAGGCAGACACAAGGAAGGACTTCCTCGCAGTGTGTTGGGTGGTGACCAGGAATGTTTGGAAGCTAGGAGCTCCAGAGCTGCTCTGAGACCCTTCCCTCGCATGGCCTAAGCCTGACCGAACCTGAGGATCTCCAGCTGCCGCAGGAGGCTGAGCTTCTCTTTCTGCATGTTCCTTGCGACGGCGAACACGTCTCTGCGGGCAGGAGGTGGTGACCTAGATGCAGGGAGGCTCCTGGGGTGCTCCACGACCCCTTAGGACACTACCCCACGCCGACCCTGACAGCGGGGCTAGGACTCGGGATTCCGGTGGAAGTGACCCAGACCTGAGCCCCAAGG